CCCTTTTGATTTCCATCAGTGTTCTTTACATACATCTTTGTTGGTTCTTGATTCTTTTCTTCTTTTCGATTTTAACAACAATGTTTTTCGATCTTCTCATTATGTAAAGGCATGTGTTTTTTTTTGTTTATTCCGCTTTTATAATAACCGCAACAACAACAAACCGCGGTTTAAAAACCACTCTCTCAACCTCCATGAACGCGAATGAGCTCTTTTGCAAGCATTTTTGATGAATCTAACGATCCCAAAACTCCAAGAACACACCCGAAAACAACAAAACCGAGATTCGCGACTCTTGTGAACTTCGACATCCCCTCCCAGCAGATCTTCAAGTAGAAAGCAGACGGTAATGTCACAGCGATCGTAACACTAACCAACGAGCCAGTGAGGCTCAAAACATAACCGAAGTACGGTACGGTTAAAGCCAGTGCGAGAATGACTAGTAACAGAGCGGAGCCCACAAAACCACGAGCCACGAGCTTGGTGCGATCAGTCATGGTCGAAGGAAGGCTACGTTCGAGCTGGATGGCTAGAGGAGCGAACTCTAAGGCATACTTGGTCATTGGGGTTAGAACTGTGGCCCAAAGAGCGATCTTGGTTACTAGTAAATGTTTCGGAAGACTGAGGGTAATTTGGGAATTTACGCTTGGTCCGAACATCTTCGCGCCTGTGATGGCTAGTGCTGTGTATAGAGCCGTCACCATAGCAAAGCTTACGATCGATACCTATACGTATTCAAAATTATTAACATGCAATTTTTATTGTTTATTTAGGGTACAATATTTATTAGACAAAAGTTACGTGCAAGGTGCAAAACCACTTAAATAGAAATTCTTTAACTTTTTTGTTACTAAAAGAAAGTAGTGAGTATAATTATAATGGTAAGTCCATAATAATTATATGAAAAATATGCTCTTTAGAAATTTTAAATAACGATAGCATATAATTATTTAGACAAAAAAATATATAACATTTTTGGATATTATGGATATTTCTAAGGTACGTACCTTTGTAAATTTGGAGGGATCCTTCATGGAAGTGTAGAGATTAGGAAATACGATGTGTCCACCGAAACCGAACAAATAGATTCCCGATACCCTCGGAATATTCCCTAACCGGAGCACCGGTATCCTCCCGTCGCCAAGAACGCCTCCAAACACGGCCGTGTAAACCACCGATCCAAATATAATCGCCGACATAAGAATCCCACCGGAAGAAAGAAACGACATGGAAGACAAATCCCTAATCCACAGGCTCGGCAAGGCGATAGCCACGGCGACCGCCGTGAGCTTCCCGGCATGGAAATGACCGCCGTTGCGGTGGCCAAAAGTGGCGGGAAAAGCGGCGGCGATGTTGTCGTGGAGGGAGATAGTGTAAGAGACTAAAGCCATGAAGATTTCGAGGTAGATGAAGACGGAGACGATGAGGCGGCCGTGGCGGCCGAAGGCGGAGTGGCCGAGGTCGGAGTAGGATTTGGATTTGGGGTTGCGGCGGAGACAGTTTCCGAGGATGTGGGAAGTGTAAGTGGTGAGGACTCCGATGGATATAAGGAGGAAGATTGAGATCCATCCACCGTTTTCCACCGCGTACGGCATTGATAGTTGGCCTAGTCCTGTTTACCGGAAAATGGTAACGTCAGAGAGTTTGCTTATTGATTTTTATATGTATCTTAAAATTTACGATAATACATCTACAAATTGATATTTGGTAAATTGATAAATTGTTAATTTTAAAAAAATTGGATCGATCAA